GGTGATTGGGCGCGGGGGTGAGAGGGAGGGAGAAGAGAGGCTGGGGATGTGCCTATGATGACATGACCTGGGCTGACCACAGTAGCACGGCAGGAATGCTGAAGCAGCCACAAATTTCCCAAATTTCAATCCCACAGGAGTAATGAGTCCCAGATTTTGGATGCATTCTGTAAGTTAGCCCATTTGAGGTACCTTGGTTCAAAAATTGTTGCCATATGATACACCGTTTTGCGCAGTTGAAGGTTATAGACATGAGTTTTAATAGTACAGGTAGTCTTCACTTAACCACCATTCATTTAGTGACTGTTTGAAGTTACAATGGTGCTGAACGAAGGGACTTACAACCAGTCCTCACACTTACAACTATCATAGCACCCCCATGGTCACATGATCGCAATCCAGGTGCTTGGCAACCAGCTCGCACTTACAATGGTTGCAGTGTCCTAGGGTCACGTGATTGCCATTTGCGACCTTCCCAGCCAGCTTCCAACAAGTAAAATCAATGGGGAACATGATTCACTTAACAGCCACAGTGATTTGCATTTGCATTCACATTCAGAGTGATCAGGCGCACCTCGCTTAACCGCCCCACTTAATAAAAAATTTTCCGGTCCCTATTGTGGTCATTAAGCAAGGACTACCTGTATGTAGATGAGGCAACATTTCCTAGATTCAGGTTTGTACACAGGAAAATATGTAACAGCAGCATACAGAAAGCTGAACAATAAGTTAAAATATTCTGTTTCTTTTGGAGTTAAAAAAGAAGGCAAGTTAAGGGCAAAGGTAAAGAAATGATATGTTATATCCATCTATTGGAAAGGACTGCGGAATCATCCAGATTTTAAATGGCAATGAATCATCTCAAGTATTTCATGCTGTGTTCAATATAGTTTTTAATTAAAAGTGTGAGCCTATGTATGTTTGCTCAGAATTGTGTCGTCGTACTTCAATGCCTCTTGTTCCCTTGTGTTTTCAGAAATGCAGCCTATATTACTAATTGTCAGAGAGATAAAAGAATTGGTTGGATACTCAGATTCTGTTCAGCTAAAAGTAAACTCACTTATTCTAAAAGACATACTGGGAGGAAAGGAAAGATAGCATCAATTAAGGGCACGAGAAGCAAGATTTTACTCATGTGCATGGCAACCCTCTTCAGGCAGTTGGCACTTCTTCTTTTTGTATACTTTCATCAAAAGCCTTAAGAAACTGACGTCAGGTAATTTCCACAATTCCACAGAATGGATTGCAGATTACAACAAAAAGTTGTGATTCTTAAGAAAATGTAATTATTTCATCTCTGTTCTTCCTTCCTATAAAGCAGGCCCTTTCATTGTTGGTCAAGGTTATAACTTAATCTAAAGCTTGATGGTTTTAGCTTTAGATCAGTAGTGGGCAATCTTGTTTCGGGGGGCTGGGGTGATGAGATACGGAGCCAGGATCTTCTGGAGGGGGTCTTCGGATTTGGTTGTCTTAAAATGACAATTAGACTATCTGTGGGATTCCAGTCCAATACCCAGAAGTAACCAGGAAATGCTTCCTAAGCCAAATTCTTTTCAAACGTTTAACTTTAAGCATACGGATAAATCTCTCTTCCACACCACAGAATTCATATTGATTTCAACGTACCGATACGGAATACAATGTTTTGGGAAGTGAACTGAGAACACTAAAACCTGCCAATTATGTCAAGCAAGCTTAGCAGATGGCCTTTGAATGAATGAAAGGAGGTGCGCACTGCAGTGAGTTCCGTATGAATCATTTACTGAATAAATACATGCAATAGCAAAATTAGATAAGCAAAAAAGGCAATTTGTAGTCAACCAACTACTCCTTCTTTTCTTTCCCCCAGTTGCTGCAGTCCTGATAGAGGGTTCAAAACAGGGAAGAATGTTAAATCCAAAAGTCAAATAACAGCTGCATTGGTGGTTAGATTACAACAGCTCTAAATACAGAATGTAGCAAAAGACTGCACCGAACAGTTTCAATACCACATACAGACGGATAAATACAGAGGACAAAGCTTGGCTTTCAATATATGAAATATTTAAGCTTTTAAGGCACAGGATAGAAAACACAGAAATCTAGTCTGATGATACTCAGTCCTTGATTTGCTCATTGGAACTTCATCATATTCATCAATCATTTCCTCATCATTCTTCAATGAACCACCATTAAACTGTGAACAGAATATTCATACATTCAGCTTCTATGTACCAAAGGCAGAAAAAATGTTTTAGTAATCATTCAGATTTTGGTCCAGTTTTTCAAGAGAACTCCATCGCTTTACTGCAGCTACTCCAGTATGATATCTCACACTGCATCAATTCAATTTTTTGAAAGTTTTTTTTTTTAAAACAACATAGCCTCATGCAAGAGACGTGGCCATGTTGGAAAGAACGCTGTAGATAGTGGGGAAGAAAAAATTACTTACTTCAAGTTACTGGTGGCCTTCATTTTTCCTCAAACTTTTATTCCTTTGCCAATTTCAGTTTTTGATTGCAAAGAGAAGCCCAATTGTGCTGGATCATTCTGTGTACATTTGCTGACATTATAAGCCTCCTCTTCTCACCACACTCTCCCTTGTTAGTAGAGTTGAAATGCAGCTTTAGAAATTACTACTTAAGCAATGCCACCAGACAATACTCCTACTTACTGATGTCACTTTAAGCCACAACAAAATGCAAAGGTTAGAAGATCTCTTGGTTTTCTTCAGTAAGACTTCACTTCATGGGGTTTTTTTCAGCTTTATTTTTCATAAGTATAGTTTATTTGTCATAATTATAGTTAATGGCTGAGTGTTCTTCCTCTTGCATGTTCTTCCTTCTTAGATTTCCCTCAAGGTTGTCATGCAGTAAATGCATTTCTGTCATTTAAAAGGAAGTGAGGACCATGAACCTAAGCTGTTATGATAAGCGGACTTTTCACAGAGTTAGTCATGCTATTCTGTATGAAGCCAATGTCTGAATGATGCTATAAAGTCTGCCTAACGAGGCATATCCAAAATAAAACATAGGAGAAGCATACATACCCATGTGCGTGTACATCACACCGAAATATAAATGAAAACTGATTCTTAAAACGTGGTACAAACAGTCTGCTACATATATTACAGGCACTTTGGTATCCTTAGTAGTGTAGTTACTTATAGGGCGCAAAGGGAACATCTTCTATACAAGCTCCAATGAAGAGTGCTTCTTGTGGAGAATTTCTTCAAAACTGTCTAAGCCAGAGTTAAAATTTTGTAAGTTCAATTATAAAGCTAATTTCCTTAAACTTTATTCACCCATAAAAATCATTTGTGGCCAGAAGACACTCTTAAGACTCTCAAAGTTGTGACAAAGTGTTATTTTATTTTCAGAAAGGAATTGCATATATATCAATATGGTGCGCGGCTACTATCTGCCATGGAACTATGCAATTTCTTGGGTTAAAATACAAAAATGTATATTTTCATTAAAACCATCTGAGGAAGTTTTCAAGAAAATTTGAATAAATATAATTAATGCCCCATTGATTCTGTTCTGAAAGCAACAGTGAATAAAATGTTCACATTCAAACCATCAAGTCCATTTTTGGAAACTGTTCTTGCATTTCCTAGGCCTGTAAAAATCATATGGAAAAAGCTACACTGATTAGAAGATACATTTGATTTTAAAGGACTCGCTGATGTTCTTTCCTGCATTATCGTAATTCAGAAGCACTGTGTATCAGCTTCAGCGCTGCTTTTGCACACGCTCTGTCCTCCCATTCTGCACTGCCAGATTCCTTAGTGATGATGTGTGAATGAATCAACTTTGGAACTGGTACTTTCAAAAAGAATGCTGTGGCAGATGAATGCAATGCGACTATTACGCGCATGGATCCAAAAGAGAGAACTGCTCCAGGCACCAGTACTGATCGTACTGAAATAACTCTGAAAGAATCAAGCAGAAATCCAGAAGTTTCCATAGTGTGAGCTCATATTGGCTGGCATTCTAAAATACCAATTGTAAACATGCCTTAAAAACCCAGTTATAAACTGTTCCCTATCCGTAGCGATCAATGTGACATCACACCAGCGTTATATCAGAGCGGCTGCCGAATCCTAATTCATTATACATTTTAAGCATACTGTTGCATAGGCAATTTCCTGGCATTGTGGATGGGGCGAATAAACCTTTAATAAGAAGCGGTGAGTGGAAAAAACATGGTACTACTGAAGCATTCAGTTTCATATCCTGGATGAATATACTGTGTTTTCAGTGTATTGATGATCTTATATATAAATATATATATATATATATCTTCATTTGTGAATTATATGCATTATCTGAATGAAATTCAAAGAATACATTTATTTCAATATAAATATTAAAGGTTAATATTTTGTAATTTCCCTTTTTTGCAAACCTTTAATCACAGATCATTACATCAACACCTTTCATTTTTTAAAAATAAGAAACCTTTAAATCCATATTATTAGTATGATTAAGACCATTTTGCTATCCAGACTATTCTCAAGACATTGTCTTAAGGTTTTTATATCATACTTTTTCAAAGAAAATAGATTGTTTTCTTTGACATTTCCTTCTGCCTTCATACCACTGAGGAAAATGCATTTTAAAAAATAGTTATCTATTTACATGGCAGACACCTTGGTGAGACACTAATAAGATAGGAAAAGTGACAGACACTCCACTTTTCTTAAGGATAGAAATGCCATAACAGGATCTATTGAAACAAATGTTTACTCTACAAACCCTATTGCACATTAAAATTGCTGTAACAAATGAAAAAAAAATGGTTTACAAGTAAGCTGACTTAAGTCTACAATAAAATGTCAAGGTGTTATAAAACTGTTGGGGAGTGGTGATGGGCCAAATAACTAAGAGTTATAAAAAATAATATTGGTACAATGCTGATAAAATATATAAAGATTGGCAAAGATATGCTAACAGGAGCTTCTGGAACCCAAGATTGCCTAAGGTGCAACGTGTGGTCTTGTCCCATCCTCAGTCAAATCATACCTATAAAACAAACGGAAAAAAAAAACAGTTAAGTCTTACCCAAACTTTCAGGTAACACTGAAACAGCATCATCCTTGTGACTGTACTTACCACTGAGTACAATTTTTGGAAAGTTCTTCTGAAGCCAGCGGTATCAATACCTGTAAGAAGAAGCAGCTAAATTATGACAGGAGATTCTGTGTGCTTTCATTTTGGGGAAAGCAATCCTAGATTCTGGCTTTGAATCCTAAGCCCCTGAATTGCATAAACTCATTGCTCATCAAAGTCTGGTCTCTGATTCCAATACGATGTTAACCACTTCACTGACTGACTCTATTTTATAAATATTTTTCATAGCTTCCTCTCCACATGCACGGATCTTAAATGTTTAGAAGAATATTCTGTCTTTTTTAAAAAGAACAAGAACATACATCAAACAAGCAAAAGGTAATGTCTGAGATTCTTTCAACACGAATCTTTATAAATCAGCTAAATGAGATCTTACTATATAGAATGCATAAAGGAAAAAAGTAAGCAATTCTGTTTCAGAATCTGAGCTATGTAAAGTTCATGGGATTACTGTTCCAAAAGGAGGAATTAACCTCCTTTGGAAGCTGATGTGTTAGAATATTTCAATTCACATTTGTTGGCCACATTATCCAAGCACCTGAGTTTTTACATCTGTGACTCACCTTACCAAGCAGACCTTTATCTTTGGACAAGAAACCTCCACTGTTCTTCACTGCAACATCTAAGGTTCTTCTCTGTAGATCAGACAACGAAACACTGAAATCAAATCTGAGAAGGGAAAAATGTTTCAGACAGAATGTAATAAAAGTACTTTGAAATCTGTGTACAGGAGATCTATAGTTTGGCTATTATTTGGTTACAGGAACTTGAAAATCTGCAAATGTCTGAGATTACAACTGATCAACTACATAATGAACATTTCTCTCTGCAAAATTACTTGCATTCCACTGTTTCTGTGCTCATTTTAGTATCTATTTTTCCCCAAGGCATGGCTCCAAGTTCTACTTTGTTAAATTAAAATATTTATATCAATTAACATTCAACTGATTAGGCTTTTTTGACAACTTATTTTCTACACAAGAATATTTTGATTGTGTCTGCACTGGTATAAGACCCATTATTTACAATCGTATTTATAGAGGTGGTAACAAAATAAACCATGGGCTGCTAATGGGCTACAAACTGCATCTATTTTTGTCTTCCTGCACTGCACTTCTAGTAACCCCATTTCTAAATGACTTCTCAAAGGTCATTACAAGTCATGTTTCAGTACAAACAAAGTAATTTTAATCATTTCCCCAACTCTATGCCATAAAATCAGCACATGGAGATTGCGACATACGCCTGATCAAACACTGGATTCAAGTTCTTCTTTGAAACGCTTGTTTTTCTTCTTCCCGATCTCCTCTTGTCTGGCAATAAATACATTCGAACATAGGGGTCAGAGCCTTCTTCTGAAAAAGCGATTAGATTTCTATAATCAAAGAATACAAAATATCCAGATCAGATTTAACGTAAAAAGCAGCACTTCTGCAAATTTTGGCAATGCTCTGTCAAGACACCTTTCGCCTAGATTCACTGAACTCTCCTTTCCCAATTGCCTGGATAAAGGCACTCACCCTGGATTCCCAGAGAGAATCTTGGTTAGTCAGAGTTGCAGTTAAACTGAGAGATTTAATTAGAGGAATAAAGCTCAGCATTTTTGATAAGATGAAAGCAAAGAGAGCAGAGCCTTCCTAGTTCTCCAGCATAGCCTTCTTGTAGATAAATTGACAAATGCAAGAAATACATAATATGATCACCTGCATGTGTGCACCACCACCATAAGTTTGTTTCTCTGCGAACTGTGACGAATTGTTAACTGGATCTGTCCCAACGGAGACTGTCCCAACGTTGTTCCACTATGAAAATCAGGTTAATACGAACTGTCAATACTGAATTTCCACAATGACAAAACAACAGCTCTTCTGTTCTGATTTTGTAAATATTTTATATCCCAACGACAGAAATATGAAATAAATAAATATTCAATAAGGATACTACAGTACTGTTCTAACCCACCTGTATACATAGACAAGGTTAGTGTGGTGCTACGTGCACAATCCATTCTGATTTTCCAGACACAATAAAATATAACATTACTGAATAGGAAGTGGTCGCTGATTTGTGAGGACATGTTTTGGTCTAGAGATGTAAAAATATAGAACAAAGGCTGCTTATTGTACTAAAAACGGGGGGTGGGGTAGGAAAATTGGCAATATATAAATTGTGGGGCAGCGGGACTGGTGCTTTTTAAACTTGCAAATAAGTATCTGAGTCAGGGTGGACACCTCGGTGAAACTGTCAACTCAGTGTGCAGCTGCCATAAAACAAAATGCAAATTTTATGCTTGGAATCATTAGGAAGGGAACAGAAAATAAAACCGCCAATATAAGAATGGCCTTAAAGCAAACTGCGATGAGACTGCACTTGGAGTACTGTGTACAGTTCTGGTTGCTGCTCCTTAAGAAGGATGTTGTAGAGTTGGCGGGGCGGGGGGGGAGGCCGGGAGCACTTCCCTTATGAGAAAAGGCTAAAGGACTGAGATTCCCTAATTTGGAATCAAGGAGGGTAAAAAGAGACATAGCAAAGGTACATAAATTCATGCAGGGCTACCCATTGAAATTCAGTGCAGGTAGACCCAGGAGGAAATCCTTTTTCATGGTGTGTGTAATTAACCTGTGGAATTCACGACTAGCAGCCAGTTTAGATAGTTTTAAAGGAGAATGGGAGAAATTCATAGAGGATTAGGTTATCAGCATCTATAAGTAGTCCTTGTTACCAACTGCCTCATACAGTGATTGTTCGCAGTTACGACAGTGATGAGAAAGTAATTTGGTGACCAATCCTCACACTGATGACCTTTGCAGGTCGGTAAAGCAAAGGAAAGCTGAAGTAAGATCATAAGCACAGTTGTGGTTTCACTTAGCGACCACTTCACTTGATGACCAAGTTGCCAGTCCCAATTGTGGTCACTAAGCGAGGACTACCTGTACTAATATTGATGGTTGATTTGTTGTTCATTTGCTTCTGACTACCTGTGTCAGTTGGCCAGGACTGTCCATCAGTAACTGCTTTGTTAAGTTCTTGTAACTCATGCTTCTATCATTGGTGTTATAATCCAGCCTCGGTTTACTGCATCCTGAATGCATACCTCAAATAATGATTGATGGGAAGTAACCCAGAAAGAGTACAATCATTTCAAATTAATCAGGATTTTGAACATCCCAAATGCATCCAATCAGCTACTATGTGGCACAGAATGATGGACTAGATGGGTGTATGGCCTGATCCAGTACAGCCCTTCTTATGTCTTTATATATTCTTGAAAGCTACAAAACAAAATCTATACATACTGGTTTCCTCATAAATTTCATATGTAAATGGAGAAATAATTCTGGATATTATGAAAAGCATAATTAAAGGAAGCTAACAGGGAAAATGAATTTTCAATCTAAGTAAAAAAGAAATTCACTAGATGTCTTAGATCTGAAGATGAAGGATCCAAGTGATAAACTGTAGTCAATCATACTGAAATCTGACTCATTTTTAAAGGAGTCTACATATGGAAATACAATGTTAAGAATGCAATCCTTAAGTAAAGCACTCTTTGGATGCTACATATTCATTTCAAATGAGAAATATTTTTATTATCTATATGATGCAAGATAGGTTTTGTTCGCATTTGCAGAGGGTGCTAGTCAATGTCTAAGTGCACAATCCTTATTTTCAGACCTCAGTCTATGATTAATTTGTAAAGTGAGCCACTCAGAAAAAATGCAGGACCTGTCAACAAGTTTTTGTGTAACAACAGTCATACACATTTTCTGAAAGACCCACTGTACAGGTTTAATTTTAGTTTTATACCCTGACCAACCGTTATATTTATAATCAGGAAATAATTTTATTTTTAGTCATAATGGCTTTCAATACTGATCTGGCTCTCTCTAGTTTCCCTGTTTTGTCTACATTAGTTGACCTGTTCTGAAAATACATCGTTGGCGTAATTAAGCTTGATGGTAAGACAATGTCCTAGCATCAGTCTGACTGCTTGCAAGTGTTTATGATTATAAACCAGTATAAAAAAGAATTTGGGACTGTACTTTTCAAGTTGCCTCAGTCGCTGTCGCAGCTCCTGCGTGGCAATGGGCAGAGAGATGTCCGAAGCTATACTTGGAGTAGGTTCTTTGACTGAAAGGTGACTGGGAGAACAGCTCAGATTGGATGTCAGGAGACTGGAGGAACTTCTGCTGAGATCTGTTGGCCACTGTGAAGGAGGATGAGAGGGAAGACCTGTTTCCGCCCCGTCAGTCCTTTTATCAATATCCATTCCTGCAGAAGTTGGGGCTTTGCTCAAGCCAGCAGCTGGAGACATGGGGACCTGAGGCTTGAAAGTACCTTTCCGCCCGTCTTTGGAAACAGAAGGCCTCTTCACTTGGGCCGAGTGTTGGTGATCTGGAGATCTCTCTCGCTTTTCAAGAGAAAGGATCTAATAGCCACAAAACAAACAAGAGGGCCTTCATTCCTTCTTGCAGTTCAGAAGAGTTACACCTGTCATTGAATGGAGATTCAAGGGTTGCAAAGCCCAGCACTGGGGAGAAAGCTGAGGTACATGAACAGATTACCAGGGAACCAGAGCAGACCTAGAGAGTCACCTTTGAGGCTATTTTTCCTCTCTGTCCAACAGTTCTAAAGAAACATACATGGAAAATCCCATATGTGATTTATCAAGGAACTCTGCATAAACTAGAATGTTTGCCATTCATCCCCACTATTATGGGGAAAACAAAAGTCCACCTGAATTGAGTTAATTAATAGGAAATAGTTTATACTCTTCTTACATTTTACAGAAGGAAAGCTTTCAATGGAGCACCTACACATCTCACTTGGTGGAAGTTTCCATTTTAGTATGACTGTGGAGAATTAAAAGTACACACCAATCCAGCCTCTTCCATCTGTCAAGCACTGGCAACCTTGAGATTCCTCTCAATACAGTTATGATTTTTGCCACCAAGCTTTTTCAGAATCTCTCACAATCTGTCTTGGAGTTAATCCCTCAAAAGAATTTGTTTTGGATGGCTTTATAGGTACTCCATAAATTATAGACAAAAAGAGCAAGTGAGAGAGAAAGAGATGCAAAAATCCTATTTTTCCTGTAGTAGCTAAAATATTTACTGAGCTTGGCTGTTGCAAGATACTATTTAGATTACAATGTCAAGTATGAGAAGAATAGTATGAATCGTATGTGCTCCTACTTTTTATCATACACACACACATACATATATAGTGTAGGGATTAGGCAGTCTAGCATTTTCAGATGTTCTGGATACAATTTCCCAGAATCCCTGATCACTGGCCATTCTGGCTGGGGTTTATAGAAGGGTAATGCAAAACATCTGGGAGATACCAGGTTGCTTGTTCCTGGTGTATATGGTGTACTATGTGAGTAGTTCTATCTCATCAGAGAGTACCCTTGTTGATAGTTTGTTGCAAAGATAGTATCTGCCAATTACGATGGACTGTGTATCATTTTAAATTCTTGATCTTTCCACTTTAAAGGGATATATTTTGAGCTAAGGAACATTCCAATTGCAGAACTTCCTGTAGATTAAGCTGACATATGAAAAGGAATTGTTTCACGCTAAAATTAGACCACTGGGCATTTCTTCTTAATTCAATGGGAGAAAAATCTCCAAAGCTTTTAAGCAGAAGTCTTAATCAATCCAGGTATCAAAAATGAAGCATGGCAGTGACTGAGCTGCTGCACGCAAAACATTATGCTCCATCACTGAAATACAGACTCACTCTATGGAATACAGTGACAGTTTCACCACTGGCTGCAATTTTGATCTCAAGAATTTCCAATGTGCCACTCAAACAACTAATTACAGCTTGTCATTCCCGACCAACTACAGCTTATAAAACCTTTCCCTGTCTTTTTTTCTTTCTGCAAATATAATTTGCATATCACTACCACAATTCTTAAGTGCTCAATTTTTATATACATTTTAGGAAACTTTTATAATATACCCTGAGTGCAATCTTCATGTTTACAGTACTGTTTGGACCAGAATTGCTAAGATGAAATCTCTGATGCATAGTTAGATCTTCACTTGCAAGGAGCTGGTTAAGAGGAAGCTTAAAATTTCCCAAGGAGCACTGGTGTTGTTCATCCTTGACCTACAGAAGAAGACAAAAGAATGGTTACATTTAAGTGAAAACCTGTACTAAAAAGATTTGTTAAATTGCTGACTCTTTAATGTTAATTGACTTGATTCTGTTAGTTAAATGTTAGGCACCTTGGGTTTCTCTAATAAAGGAAAAGAGAATATTTAACAATAAATCAATAACAATGCCAATATCCATAGCTAAGCAGAACATATCTGCTTCCTATAGTCTGAGCTTCAGTGTACTGCCATTTTTTCTACCTATACACTCAAATGCACCAGTAGAGAAAAGCCAAATTTGCTGTGACCTTTATGCTATATTTACCATAAAGTAAACTTTACACTGTATTACATATACATTACAGAACAGATTTAAAAGGTTTTCTGATCACCTACGACAAATTTGTTAAGCAAATGATTCAGCACAGACAGAACCATTTCCAATTCCAAGATAGGATTCATCATCTATTCAGCAACACATTTGCACATTCAGCAACACATTTGCAAATTTTGAGTGTACATTTTTTTGCTGCAACACTCACAAGGCTGCAGCCACGCAGGCATTCTACCCTCAATGCTCAACAAAGAAGAATCCATCGATACCTCAAAAAAGCAAACAACTAGAGATGGCCTACCTCAACTTCTAGCTCTTGTCGTCGAGGATTATGAACAAAAAAAGTGAAATGCTCTTCCCAGACTGGTTCATTGGTCTTATAGCGGATCTGTTCAGAGGCAGGATGCATTCTTTATTAACTTATATGGCGAGAAACAAAGTCCATTTACAGACACAGAGACCTTCTTCTCCTTTCCCTCCAAGGACTGCATGCCCTTGGGCACAAGACAACAGTGAAAATGCCAGAGCTGGGTATTCAGCATACATGTGCATATACAGTGGGGCAAAAAAGTATTTAGTCAGCCACCAATTGTGCAAGTTCTCCCTTTGCAGAAAAACAGCCCCAAAGCATGATGTTTCCACCCCCATGCTTCACAGTAGGTATGGTGTTCTTTGGATGCAACTCAGCATTCTCTCTCCTCCAAACACAACGAGTTGAGTTTAGACCAAAACGTTCTACTTTGGTTTCATCTGACCATATGACATTCTCCCAATCCTCTTCTGGATCATCCAAATGCTCTCTAGCAAACTTCAGACGGGCCCAGACATGTACTGGCTTAAGCAGGGGGACACGTCTGGCACTGCAGGATTTGAGTCCATTTGGATGATCCAGAAGAGGATTGGGAGAATGTCATATGGTCAGATGAAACCAAAGTAGAACGTTTTGGTCTAAACTCAACTCGTTGTGTTTGGAGGAGAGAGAATGCTGAGTTGCATCCCATTTGGATGATCCAGAAGAGGATTGGGAGAATGTCATATGGTCAGATGAAACCAAAGTAGAACGTTTTGGTCTAAACTCAACTCGTTGTGTTTGGAGGAGAGAGAATGCTGAGTTGCATCCCATTTGGATGATCCAGAAGAGGATTGGGAGAATGTCATATGGTCAGATGAAACCAAAGTAGAACGTTTTGGTCTAAACTCAACTCGTTGTGTTTGGAGGAGAGAGAATGCTGAGTTGCATCCCATTTGGATGATCCAGAAGAGGATTGGGAGAATGTCATATGGTCAGATGAAACCAAAGTAGAACGTTTTGGTCTAAACTCAACTCGTTGTGTTTGGAGGAGAGAGAATGCTGAGTTGCATCCCATTTGGATGATCCAGAAGAGGATTGGGAGAATGTCATATGGTCAGATGAAACCAAAGTAGAACGTTTTGGTCTAAACTCAACTCGTTGTGTTTGGAGGAGAGAGAATGCTGAGTTGCATCCCATTTGGATGATCCAGAAGAGGATTGGGAGAATGTCATATGGTCAGATGAAACCAAAGTAGAACGTTTTGGTCTAAACTCAACTCGTTGTGTTTGGAGGAGAGAGAATGCTGAGTTGCATCCCATTTGGATGATCCAGAAGAGGATTGGGAGAATGTCATATGGTCAGATGAAACCAAAGTAGAACGTTTTGGTGGAGAACTTGCACAATTGGTGGCTGACTAAATACTTTTTTGCCCCACTGTAAATACAGGTAGCCCTTGACTTATGACCATTTGTTTAGCGACCATTCAAAGTTATGACGGTGCTGAAAGTAACTTACGACTGGTCCTCGCATTACGATCATCACAGCGTCCCAGTGGCCATGTGATCGTGATTCAGGCACTTGGCAATTGTCGTGCATTTACGATGGTTGCAGTGTCCTGCAGTCACATGATCACCATTTGTGAACTTCCTAGCCAGCTTCCAACAAGCAAAGTCAATGGGGAAGCCGGAAGGGAAGGTCGCAAGTTGTGGTCACGTGATATCTTGCTTAACAACCAGTGATTCATATAATGACCGTGGCAAAAAAGGTCGTAAAATGGGGTGCAGTCACATGATGCCTCACTTAACAACCACACTACTTAACAACAAATTTTCTGGTCCCTATTGTGGTTGTACATTGAGGACTACCTGTACACACAAATGTCAAAGTGATCTGCACCGGGAGATAGTACCTCGCACTGTCCACTGGGCTTTGCCCGCTCAGTGCAAATTACAGTTATCAGATATACCTTCATCCAGATTAGACCTGTGGAATGGGCAGCAGAATAGCTTTAAACTTTTGTTTTACCCTGTACACCCAATCCAGATCAGACACCTAGCACCTGCAATTTGCAATTGGAAAGGAAAAAAAAAAAAGATGGACATGAAGGATATTCTCCTCTTAAAGCAGCTTACAAGCACAGCCTTCTTGATCCAAAGGAGCTCACAGCAGTGTATGCATTTAAGAAAGAGCATGACACCCATTCCTTCCACACCAGGATTCTAATTCAGATCCAAGTGCCTGCAAATTGCTTGGGGGGTGGGTGGGCGGGGGTTCCATTAGCTTTCAAAGAAAATGTTATTTTGACACAAGACTGATGTATGGTCCTATATACAGGAAACATGGAAAAATTAGGATGGTGTGAACTATTTTGCCTTACAGAAGTGGGCAAAAGCTGGTAAAACTTACCTTACTTTCTTGTGCCTTATGTCCAACAGTCATTAAGACAAGGGGATTTGGATTGCTGTTTATTTTCTTCCCTGACTGAAAATGTAGAAAACAGATTCTATTACTCTTATTTTCTCTCCATCCACATTCCTTACAAAACTGTGTCACAAACATATACAGAATATAGGAATCACATAACTTACCTTGAGAGATTTTATACACAGAAATCATTGGGGCTTCCGACCCCTTTACAAATATTATCCCTGTTTTTGAATGAACTGGTTTAAGAAGTTCAACCTTTTGTTCTTAAATAAGCATTTCATCCCCCAAAGCTAATGAAGCAACATCAGAACAAATAAATGAATGTTGCAGTCAGCATGCAAAAGGGGGATATGGAAAAAGCGCAAGCTTAGAAAACTAATCTTATATATGTGGGATGGATTCTGTGATTAAGCAGGATGTCAGAATCATAAAACATTTGGAGGGCAGCAAAGGAGGTGGTATGCTGTGGCTTCTATGACAGGTTTACCCAGTTTTCTTACTAGAGATCAACCATGTGCCATGTCTGACTTCCTCACCAACTGAACAGTTCTAAGTCAAACTGCAAAAGTAAGCAATTATTTGGATAACTTTAAAGAACTCAAAGGATTCCCAAATTATGAATGTCTGTTAATAGGCTCTGTATCAATCTCTCAGATAAATACTTTTTGTTAAGAAGGAGTTACAGAAGTTAATCTGAAGCATCTATCAATGATGTTAATACATTAGCTAGCTTATTAATAATTAATTTAAACTGGAACTCCAAAAAAGTAACATGGTTAAAAGAGACACTGAACAATGTTAGACAAAAATTGCAGGCCAAAGATGTGTGTGTACTCAACACACAGTGTTTTGAATTTTTAAAGAGTAACACATATTTAGTGTAATTTTCCCAGCATTCTGCTTTTAATTTTTCCTGAGTAGATTGCTAGATTGACAGAAAATCCATACAGATTCTCCCAGATTAGTTATGTTTACTGAAATTTATCTTCAAGGGCAAAAATATGCGCCATGGGGATGTTCACCAATATCCTCTTCTCTTAAAGGATCTCTATTTTTGAATCACTTATGCGGCAAGCTCTCAATCATGCCTTTATTTGGTAACATTTATTGAATTTCTGGCCTGTTCAGATACTTATTTCTTATTTATGTTTTTCTTAGCTTAATCAGTTTCTGGTTTTGCAAATGCTTAAGTAATTTAAGTAATTTGAGCAAATGCTCAAACAATTTATTTACTATGGCAAAACTGATGGATAGGCAAAATGTCTCTTGGAATATAATACATGACCACTTCAATAATAAGCAGAGCTTGTCTGTAACAGACAATAACAGAGATCCAAGTCTTATTCCTTGCCCCAGAAAACAAGGAGGCACATCCCTATTTTATACATGCTGCCAATTAAGTTCTGTACAGGTAAGAAGTAGGCATGTACTGTATATACATCAGCTTGCACCAAGCCTTTCAGTTCAACCAATGATGCTGAGGCTGTGGGCCTGCACAATTTATAGACTGGCTATTCTGTGCTGTCAGCATCTTCAATAACTTGTTTCTCCTACTTTCCACTTTAGGACTAAATTTAGGTTACCACTGGCAATCTGTCTTATGCTTGTATCCACAGTGGTGATCCTGAAACTAAAAGGGTAGAATTAATAAGTCTGCAAAGAAGTTTGTGTTTCATGATGACTTAGTGGCCCTTATAGTAGTCTCGTTGTGAAGAATTTGTCACTATAACCCGTTCAGTAATAAACAAATGCATTTACACTCCAAGTTCAGCAAATTTACTAAAAAGGGACCAAGGAACTTGGAACTTCTCTGGATTAAAAAAGCACCAACAAGTATAGTAAAAGCATGCTTTTGAAAATGTATTAAACATTCAGTACTATTTTAGAAGAATTAAAATAATTTGTCTAATATTAGCAATATAGCTTGGTCTCCAATACCAACTTTTTAAAAAGAATTGCTCATTAAAATTAGACTACTTGTTTCTATAATTTATGTAATGCAACACTGATGGGATGTGCCTTCTACTCACAGGCAAATTAATGTCACTGTGTCCTGATCTTACTTTGTGACACTGAGTTTATGTCCCCTGGCATTCAAAATACAGTGGAACCACGAGTTACGAATTTAATCCGTTCCGTGACTCTGGTTGCAACTCAAATTGGTCGCAACACGAGGCAAATTTTCCCATAAGTTTCAATGTAATTACCGTTAATCTTTTCCGGCGTCCGCGGACCATGCGTCAGGGGCAGAAAATGGCCGCGGACTACGTGGCAGGGCGGAAAAACGGCCGCGGACCACGTGGAACGGGTGGAAAAATGGCTGCGGACCACGTGGAACGGGTAGGAAAATGGCCGCGGACCACGTGGAACAGGCGGAAAATGGCCACAGACCACGTGGAACGGGCGGAAAATGGCCGCGGACTACGTGGCAGGGCGGAAAAACGGCCGCGGACCACGTCGAACGGGCGGAAAATGGCCGCGGACTACGTGGCAGGGCGGAAAAACGGCCGCGGACCACGTCGAACGGGCGGAAAATGGCCGCGGACTACGTGGCAGGGCGGAAAAACGGCCGCGGACCACGTCGAACGGGCGGAAAATGGCCGCGGACTACGTGGCAGGGCGGAAAAACGGCCGCGGACCACGTCGAACGGGCGGAAAATGGCCGCGGATCCGGTTCATAAGTTGAGGAGAGTTCGCAAGTCGAGGTAAATTTTTGGGGCTGGAGCTGGTCGTATCTCGAAAAATTCGTAAGTAGGGGTGTTCGTAACTAGAGGTACCACTGTACATAAGGATGTTTGTTTATTGTAGGCAACCCAGTGTCTTCATTTAATTGTGTGACTTTAAATGGAAAATTGTATCACTTTTACCTTTAAGACTTTCTGAACAGCAGACTTCTTCAAGGCTTCTGGATTATAATCTAATGGATTATGCTTTTAAACCAGAAGAAAATGAACATACGGAGGGTTAATACGACATGCAATGAAGTAGTTCCACTTGGTTAATTAAGGACAGGACAACAATGGCAGACCAAACAAACTTTCTCAGAAGAAAGAGAAAAATGCTTGAACCGTTATTACTATAAAATAATTTGACACATCCTTTATTGTTTTTCCATTTTAAATTATAACACACGACTGACTTTTTCCAGTCAGGCTAAGATTCTCCTGTTTGCAGTAACTTTCTTTCTAATTGCTCCAATGCAACAAAAATTTCTTATTTGATCTGATGATATGGATACAGGAAAGTGGGGTGGATCTAACCAGCTGACCATTTCCATCAACAGTTTCTAATTTTATTTCAGAAAAACTGCATCGTCCTGAGGGTAAATTAGGAATTCTTAAAAAAAAGAAAAAAAAAAGCTGGGTTCTAGGATTCCATTTTGTTCCAAAGTTTCTGAGATGGAACACCCAAAGTTAAATTCCACTTCAGAACAAATGGAATGGAACCTAAATTGCTATGCAAGCACGCTGCAACTCAAAACAGGAAGAGGAGGTTGAACTCTCTGTCCTCCAAAATGACCGTTTCAAGCTTTGACTGCAATGAGATTTGTTTTCAATGGGAAAAAAAAGTTACAAAAACTTGTACATTTGTCTCAATGTTATACATCATGTGGCTGAAAAATCATACCAAAAAATGACAGAAAATTTATGTCAGATGCACAGAAGACTTCTTGATCGTTAACCAAGCTTGTCAACCAAGAATGAACTTACTTCTGAACTGTATCACTCCTTTTAGTCATTTAAGATCTCTTTACCTTTCTTACTCAATTTCTCTCTGTCTTCCTGGCAGGTAGGCACACTTCCAAACAAAGCTCCTCCCCAACATTTACCTTACAAAATCTTACGGAGGCTGTTTAGGTGCAGAACATTATTGCACATAAAGATGAACTAAAGGCTGACACTTTGCTTTGGGGGGCGTGCCAGCTCCCCATTTTCTCTAACTAAACAAATCTTTAAAAAAAATCAGATGGGCAAGGAGAAAAGTGATATGACACTTACAGGTACACATTTTTAAACGGAGGTACTGTATATTCTTTTCTAAACTCTTCTTTAGACTTACTAAAAAAGCAAATTGGCCGTGCTCATTCCATAGCCTTCTGTTTGGCTGGCTACTTAAGTGTGATAACAACTTGGTGCCACATATAATATACAGAAAAAGTGCCCCCTCTCTATGCATCTAAAAGCTTTGGGCTAGCAATAGTTTTATGTTGAATGTACATCTGCCTAGACTGGAAAGAGTCTCCTCTTACTTTTTCCCATATGGTTTCTTAGCATACAATTTTCAGCTCCTGATAGTTCTTACTACTTTCTTTGGAGAAGTTCACACAGGTAACAGATCCATTCAACACTACTGTGAAATTTGCTTCACTTTTTTTTTTTAAATTATTCTCAATTTAGGATGAACACTGTAACTGCTTTTTATCAAGGGAAGCCAACAGTATCAGAGTAAAAATAACAGATGACAGAGATGTTTGCTGTTTGCATGCCACTGTCATGCAAACACCGTAATGCTTATTAAGGAATCTTTAAGCTATAAAAAGAGAAGAAACATTCCAGCCCCACAAAGAAAAAAGACAATGTGAAGTATAATTTGGGTCAAGTTGCTGTTAAACGTTTCTGTTTTCTGAATCAACCCTCATTTGCTGTAACACATCATTTCAACTGCCTTAATAGAGTTGGCACCGTTTTAATAATGCAGTAGAACCAAGGTTTAAGGATTGGTAGTAAAATAAGAGTATATGAGAATTTAGTTATGACACATTGTTTTGGTATTACATATGATTCTTTCCAACTTGCATCAAGCGTAAAACCAGGCACGCTTCTAAGCTGATTTCAGAAACTCAGATGACTCAAGGTTCTCAAAGCAAACCCAATAATCAGATGCCACGAAGTAGGAAGGCAGGCGATTTGCGAGGTTGAAATGAGAATGCTATGCCATCCTTATTTTATTTTATTTTTGTAACAGCTTTCAAGTTCCTCCTTGACTGTGGAGCTCAGTGGTTATCTTTGCATAAGCCACTATTTTGCAGCAAAACCTCCTTCAGAGGATGAGTG